CCAGGAGGCTGGCCCCCCAGGTAGGAAGCCCTGCCAAGGGAGGGCTCTGAAAAGGACATGGTGAAGCAGTGAAAGAGGCAGTGGGACAAATGGGACAGTGGGCAGCTCCGGCCACCCCTAGTGGCACAAGCTCCCTGCTAGCTGAGTTCCAGAACACAGGGAGAGACGTGGTGTAGGGCACAGTGTGGGGTGAGGAGCTACAACCTGGTTTTCTGTCCCACAAGGGAGCCTGGCTCCTGTCCAAAGGGTGATCAGAGGAATGATTTAGAGATGGTTCCAGTAAAATCCCATGCAGAACCCAAAAGTCAGGTGACACTGCACCTCTAATCAGGGTGAGACACCCTAGGGTTGCCTCCTGGCCTTTTCTGCTGTCTTTTCAGAACCTTCCACCCTCAGCCCCAGCACCCGTCCCAGTTCCTCACTCTTTCCAGCACAGCTGACTCCGTCCCCCAGCTAGTAGGGCCAGGGAGCCTGGGTCCTGGGAACCAAGACTCCTTTTCTTAGCAGCACCTAGAGGGGCTCCCCTTGAGTGCAGAACACAGAGGGTTAACTCTGGCAAGTCTACCCCAGGCCTGGGGACCACTCCAGGCCTGGGGACCACCGGCTAAGACAAAGCTGCTGTTCTCTTGGCCTCTCTCCACACTCCTCAAGGTCCAGACCCTGGCCTGGGTCAGAAACAGATGGAGGCTCTCTCAGCCTCTCCTTTCCCTCGAAGGGGCTGGGATTAACCACGTGGTAGATGAAGAAAAAGAAAAGCAAAAAGCAAGGAAAGCACTGTTCCCTCTCCCTGGGAGGCCCAGCTCCTCCTGCTGAGTCTTCCCAGGGCCTGGGGGAGGCATGAAGCTGACCCTTCCCCCACCAACCATGGCCGCCAGTGGGGTGCCACACCCTTTCTTGGGCCAGTCCTTGCTCCCCTCTCTCAGCCCAGGGACACAAGAAGAGGGAGACTAAGGAGAGAGAAAATGCGTTTGAAAGAGGATGAAAGTCAGGTGGGAGCTGGCTATGCTGGCGGGGAGGGAGTGAGGTGGGCCCTCTTCCCCTTGGATTGGGGCACAGGGAGGGCAGAACAGGCCTGGGAGGGGAACTTGATCCCCCTGCCTCATGCACTAACAGGGCTGGGGTCAGCTTTGAACCTGCAGCCCAGGGTGACCGAGAGGACCCTTACCCAGAGCAGGGCTGGCCATCCTGGATCTGCAGGTCCCCAGCCCCTTAGATGACAGCCTCTCCCTTCCAGCACATTTTTTTCTTGCCACCCACCCCAGCCCTAGTCAGCTCTCTTCAGAGTATTTTCTTTCCAACCTTCAACCCCTCAGCCAAGCCCACAGATATTGGCCCCAAGGACTCCTCTTTATGGTTCCCTCCAGTGCCATCCACTGGCTGCAGAGCCTGGTGGATGCAGGTCACTGCAGCTCACTCTCTCGTCCTGCCCTCACCCCCTCACCCACCTTGTCTCCCATCACAGCTCCTCCTTTTTCAAGCCAAGGTCCTGACTCCACCAGCTTCCAAGGTTCTTGTCCCATTCAAGGCAGGTGTATCCCTCTCCATCCTGCCCACGTGCAGAACATGCCCAAGTCCCCTAAGCTTCTAGAGTAAGTGGTCATTTGCACTAAGATCCTCAACCTCTACCTGGTCTGGGCAATCAGCAACTGTGGACAAGTCCAGCATCAAGGTCAAGACACCAGGCTGGTGGGCCTTTGGGGACATACTGCGTGGCCCAGGCAAGCCTTTCCCCTCAATGGCCTTCAATTTCCCTTTCTGTCACAGGCCTCCCTGAAGGGGATGAGGCAAAGAACAGCTTGTCCTGGCCTCTCTAGTAGAGCACCCAAAGGTGTCTTTGCCCTGGGCTGATGGGCATTCCCAGAGGCAGTGGCGATTTCCACATGACAGATGCCATCTCTGAGTTCCTGGGGTCAGGGCCTCAGGAGTCCTGGCCGAAGGGGCTCAGCAAATAATCCGGGGGCCACCTCTGGCTACTTGTGGTCCTTGGGCATGCTTCTCACATCTCCCCATGTTGCAATAACTGTTTAGGGGAAGGTCTATCCTCCCCACCAGGTTGTAAGCTCCCTGGGAGCAGGGGCCTGTCCTGTTGTTCTCTTGTTCCCAGTGTCCAGCACAGGTAGGGGACATATACGTATGTGCACACTTGTGTCTCTTCCAGGAGGAAATAGCAACAGGACATTAGGACAGTCCCATGACTCAGGCTGGAGGGAAATGACACCCAGGTCTGCTTCGCTCCAGGGCCTCCGGGCAATGCTGCCCCACCCCCTCACCCCCACCCCTGCCAGCTCCACTTCCACCTATGACCACCCAGTTCCTCCAGGACTCCCCTAATTCTAGTGGGATCTGCCTAGTCACAGCAAGACATGGCCTCTGAGCCAGACAGGTTTGTCATCGGGCTCTGCAGACAGCTCCAGCCCTGTCCCAGCCAGCCTCAGCAGGCTCCACCCCGGTGACTCCTGCAAGTGGTCCCTGGTACCTGGGGTGGCTCTGCCTTGTGCACTAGTCAAGTTGGCATGCCTGGACCTCCTGACCCTGTCATTGTAACCTTCTCAGCGTCAAGGGTCCTTGCGGGAGACCTCCCTCTGGGGTGCTTGGAATCTGGCTCTGCACAGGTCTCGTGTGTTATTTTCCTGGACTCTACAAGCCTGGCCCAGGTTTGCTGCCTCAGCTCATGCTGCTGAGCTGTGGGCACCTGCTTCTGGTCCTCATTTTCCCTGGGCAAACATCACAAATAACCACAGCCTTTGGCTCCACACACCCACTCCTCGGCCCCCAGAACCCCTGATCATCATTCACTCAGTCCTGTGCTAGCTACCTTGTCCCAGTCCACCACTTTGAGCTTCGGCTCCATCGCAGGGTCTGTCTTCTGAGTGTTTGCAGAGTCCACAGCCCCATTCTCCATGGAACCCTGGAGAGAGAAAACACGAGGGGGTTACCTACAGTGGGTGAGGGAAGGGAGCCCCAAGTCGCCACACAATGAGGCAGCCAGGAGTGATGGGAGCCCTATGGTGGGGCAGGATGGGCGGAAATACAGGGCACTTGAAAACAGGGAGATGCTGGTGTGGATAGTCTTGCTCTCTGCACTTTTCTTCTCTGCTAAAAAAACAATTATCTGTAAAGACAAGGGGCAGAAAGATCTGGGGGAACACAGAAGCTGGTAGAGAGACCGCAGGGAAATGAGAGCAGTTAGTGGGACTGCTGTGGGCCAGGAGAGCCCTCTGTGCCCTGGCAGGTGTCAGACAAAGAGAATCACGGGGTGGCACCCAGGGCACCTGGCGGGCTTACCACACCACACCCGATGACTGCATCAGCCGCCACCCTCCCTGGTAGTTCTACAGAGCTCGTGGGCCACAGGCTGGGGCAGCTGGGTGCACGTGCCCACAAAAAAGAAAGGCAGCAGAGCGTGAGGGGTCGTCCCTCCAGGAACTCCTCAGTGTGGGTCAGCAGCCCCACGTAGGGCAGGACCGGCAGAGGAAAGCAGAAACGGGCTCAAGGTCAAATAGGAGTAGAAAAGAGGCAAAGGCAGAAGGAAATGAAATGTACTGGGGAAATCACACGGCCCCTGCTGGTCCCGACGTCACGCGGGGTGAGGCTGGAGAGGGCAGGGGCACGTAGGCAAAAGGCATACTTCCCTCCAGGAAGGGTGGGGAGAGAACTTACCAATGGGGGGGTCTGTCCTCTGAGTCCCTGTGACTAAAGAAAGCTGTGGTGCTGGTGGCCCTGGAGGAGGGGCCCTCAGCACTGGGCAGGATACTGGCAAGAACCTGAGGAGACTGAGCAGCCAGTTAGGGTTTCTCTTGTCACAATTCTTATATTTTTGCTTCCAGACGAACCAAGAGAACCTGATGGTGACAGTGACACTGGTGCTTTCTGGGGAAACCCATATGTAACCCAAGTAAAAGTGGACTTTCATGGTTCTGTCTTGGTCTGGGTATCTCAGTATATTTGGTCTGTATTGGCAAGCTGATACCTGAATTCTTTTAAAAGGCACCCTTGATGATCTCTTGAGGACACATAAGAGTGGATTTTATAAGGTTTCATACAATGAAACTCCCTAAGTATCCAACATAAACGTCATATAATAATCTTGCCCCTTATAATTCCATTCTACCTTCAAAATACCCCAGAGTGGCTCCAATTACCCAGCTTTTATTCTCCCTCCCACCTGGACAGTCCTTTTCTCCTGGTCACCCTAAGTCCTTTCTGAAGCAGGGTGATTTAATCTTTCTCTGCACCCCCACACCCACTCACTCACTGCAACTCCATCTGCTGTCTCTACAAAATGAAAGGCTTGTCTAGGGGTCCACCCATCCCAAGCAGGGAAAGGGTTACCCTTTCGTATTATCATGTGATGTTTCTGTCTGTGTTACACTTTTCAGACACGCCGAGTAATAGACACAGATCTGTTTTGGGCACATCCACCTACACAACCACTGGATGCAGAAGAAAGGGTCATTGCTTCTCAGCACTGGGCGTAGAGCTCTCAACTACCCAGCTCGCGCTTCTGCTTGCTCAAGGCTGGGCTGTTTTCTGAGAGCTCGAGTCCTTGGGAAAGTCTCCCTTCTGCTCAGTGTCCAGGGACCACTCCTGGCTTGTCTCCTCTAGGACTAGGCAGGCTCTTTCTTTTTCTCCTGGCAGCTTATACATACATAAGGACAGACCGTACCCCCAACCCCGGCATCTACTTTTCCCCAAGACCCTCTTAGGACACAACAGGCTCAGGCTCTCTAAGCATAATGGTTGGTCCCCTGCTCCCCTTCTAAGGTGGGTGTGATGGGACCAGGGCAGAATCCAGCAGGGCTCCTGCCTGCCCCCCATGGAACATCATATTTCAGGTCCCAGGCACTGAGCTCCATTGGCGCTTTGGCTGCCACCTTACGTGGCTCATTCATTTAGCTTTTGACTACCTGAAGCCTTTTCATGGAGTACTGCTGCCAGTATGGTGTGGAGAGCTGGTGTTGCCCAGGAGGTGATTTAGACCTGAAGACCCATTTGTTCACTGTGATGAAGACCGGGACACCCAGAGTGTTGGTGAATGGAAGGCCGGAAGGCAGTGGAAAACAGAGAAACCCTAAGAAGTGGGATCATTGGGGGAGTTTGTAGGGACAAGAAGCCCTGGCTTTATATCAGCCTCCTCTCAGGGGTGGTCTCAGTGAAGCATCACCACGGTCTCCCTCCTCTTCCCTCAATTCTTCTCTCCTATAAGGATCTCATGCACACCCACTGCTGTCATCCACTCATCCACTGACATACACATCTGAACATCTGCAATGTGCCAAACACACATCAACTTGGAAGACTTTCCAACTCTAACACTGGCCCAGCTCTTTGCACCAGGACAATGTTTCCACTGCCCACATCAAACCTGACCTGCTGACACCGCAATCCTAAAAGTGAACATATTGTCACCCTCTGCAGATGGGCTTATCCTTAACTTCCTGTGGTTATGTCTTTCCCCTGTATTTCCAAACTCTTCTCCTGTGTGCCCTTGAATTAACCCTAACTCTTCTCTCCAGCCAGTAGGGATAACTTGCCATTTCTTAAATATGCCTTGCATTTTTCTTCTCAAATGCTATCCTAGGATGATGACAGTGGTTAATAAATGCTTACTATGTGCCCAGCCTTTTCCTCTTCATAACAACTGTATGAAGGAGGCATGACTATTCTTCCCACTTGCCAGATGTGGGGACCCAGGCATGAAGCAGCCCCACAGCTAACAAGGGGTGGAGCCAGCAGCTGGGCTCCGGAATATTCTCTAGACCACCATGTACTTCTTCCCTACCCATTCTAGCCAGGAATGGTCTTTTCATTTTCCGACTTAAAAAAAATCACATTTTCCCTGTGTCCCACTGCCTCAGTTGGTATTTATAATTTCCTGCCTCTTGTTGGGTTTTTGCATGTTTGGGCCATAATTTTGTCCAATGGTGTTACAGATCCCAACAGTGCAGGAAAGTACTGTTTCGTCTCTTTGGGGTACCCAAGATGGACTCTGGGTTAGCTGCTCCACTCATATTTCTTGAGTGGACCATCTTTCATTGTTGGGTCTTTGCAACGTAGCCAGGATCCCCGAGGCTCCTGCCATGAGGTGGGCTTCTCTGCTCGTGGGGGCAGGGAAGGTGGAGCTGAAACTCTGTGTGCTCATGCTCCTTGGAAATGAAAACCAAATAGGGTGAGCACATCTGCTTAGAAGAGAGAGGTGGCCCAGGACACTGAACATACCATCTTAGAATGCCACCCTGGGCTGAGTGGGACAGTAACCAGATACAAGGGTCAAAATTCCAACAATCTGGGCCATATATTCTCCGTGCTCTTTGGCTGAGTCCAGAGGATAGGTATGAGCAGAACTAAGAGTACATTAGACTGATATGAAACTACCAGCATCATATTTTGCCCCCAAATTTTTTAAATTACCATCAGCAGCATTTCATAAATGAAAGAAAATTTCAACACCTAAGAGGTAGGAAACACATACTTTTAGAATAAAAGGCAGTTCTTCCCAAGGAAGGGCATTTGGCTACTTTACACTGACATTAAAAAAAAAAGATTCCATTTAAAAATACTTATTAAAGCAGAAAAATTACAACCTAAAATGCTACTTTGAGTGCATCAATTGTACACCCTTATTGCCTTGGTTCATGGTGGTTGGTGTGGGGCTTGAATCTACATGTGATAGGAAGTAGATCAAATGTTCTCTCTCTTCCAGTTCTAAGGGTTTCTTAACAAATTACTAAAAGTCCAATTTCACAGAGAGATGTTGGCTGAAAATGAAAACAGAACTTCTAAGGATTTTTTTTTTCAGTTGTTGTTCAGCTGGAAATATTCTGAGTGAAATGAGGGATGTGGAAGATCCCCATGGCTCTGTGCCTCTCTCCTAGGAGCCTGGAGGAAGGGGAGAGGCTTCTGCCCACCGCACGGCCCACCAGCCTGTAGCCCCAGCCCAGGGCAGGCAGGGATTCTCCCAAGATGCTTCCTTGAATCTTGCACTGGCACCTGTCTGAGGGCTGGCATGGGGCCGCACTGCCATGGAGGAGGAGGAAAAAAGAGGCGGGAGGGACAGGAGTAGGCATGGTTTCCTCCTGTCCTCCTGCCTCTTTCTGCCACCCTGGGTAGCCTCATCGGAACCACACCCATCCCTGGCAGAAGCCCAGGTTTATTAATCATCACACGATGGTACACACCTCCAACACAAGAGATTTCAGGGAGAACCAGAACAAGCAACACAGGGGCGCCACCAGGAGCAGAAATACCCTCTGGTACAAGGAAGTACGTCTTTTATTGACTCTTTTTCCTCTAGTCGAGTTGTGAGCTTTCCAAAGGTCTAAAAACCTTCTCCACACACAGACAAGACAAAGCCCCTCCTGTAGAAGGTCTCCCATTCCCACTTGGGGGCTGCTCCCATTTGAACCAGGTGTTGCAGGAACTGAGCCCTGCTGGGAGCCGCTGCACCACACACACCGATCTGGGCCAGGTTTTCCAGACTTCCAGGCCCCAGTGTTTATTTTATAGTTGAGCCAGGCTCACCCTTGAATTCCACAGGCAAACAGCAATCATGAATCAGAGGTGTGTAAAGGTCATTCCTAGGGACTAGGGTACAACTCAAACTTTAAAAGACTTTAAAAAAAAAGCTTCTTGGAAACTTCCACAATGCATTATTTAAAAGACTCTCCTGATTCTGGAAGCAAGCCAAATGGAGCTTTCAGAACCAAAAAGCACCAGAAAGTGAAGAAGGCACATGCTGTTTCCCAGAATTTGAAAATTGTTCTGGGTCCTGCCTGCAGGTTGCATAAGCTGCAGTGTCTGGGGAAGGGAAGTGAGTAATTCTGGACTCAGACTCACAGTGGTTTTCACAAGGATGATCAGCCCGAGTGTTGGTGGATGTGCCTTGACAAGGGGTGTTCAACCCACCTGTGTCAGAGGATAGCTTTCTTAGGAGGTCTACCCAAGGGACACAAGACTGTCCAGGGGTAACCCACCCTTCCTCCTGCCCCTCCTGACCTCTTCACCCTGGGAAGGTGGGCAGGAGGCCCGTCAGGAGCACTTTTACAGTCCAGCCCGAGGCTATTTGGGAGGAGCTGCTGAATCTAGCAAAGTAGCTCAGGCTGAAGCGTCTTGCTTTCTTCATGCATTTCCCAGTGGTAGGCTCCCAAGCTAGTGTGCAGTGCAAGCTCCTTAAGGGTAGAGACCCTGCCGCCTTGCTCCCTGCTGGTCCGCAACAGCTGGCACAGGTTCAGCGCTCCACGGCGAGCTGAGTGATGTGTTAATGAGGAGACAGTGGCCTGTTTAGGCTCTGGGAGCCCAGGCCTGGAGAGGCCCCCAAAGTGAATGCAGGGTAGGCAGGAAGAGGGTGGCCCGGTGCCTTTCGACGCCTGTGTCTACTTAGGGTGGGGAGAAGGACAAGATGCTCTACCGAGGAGACCGGGTGGCAGGCACTGTCCACCCTGAGCTGGAACCACTGGACATGGTGGGTAATACGGCAGAGGGAGTGAGGAGGGCATTTGGATCTCTATAGATCCTCCTAGCCCCAGTCCTAGGCTGCAAGGAAAGAAGCCAGTGAGAGGGCAGTGCCACCCTATTTTCTCCCAACACAGTGCCAGTTCCTGGCTGGTCATGAGACATGATTTGTTTTGAGGTCAGCCCAAACCACAGCTCTTCCCTCATGGAGATGGCCCTCCTGATAGCACCACCCCTTCTCCCGGGCCCTTCCTCCACCTGCCTCTCTCACACTGAGCTCAGCACCCTCGGACCCAAACTCACAGAGGACTTGGGAGTTGCCCCCTGCCAGCTCCCTGAGGTTCCAGCCAGGCCCCCCAAACACCTGTCTCTCAGGGGGGCATCCCTCAGGGGGAAGAATCCAGGGTTAGCCACTGATTCTAGACCTGTCAGCTCTAGAGGAAGAGACACAGTTCTAGACTAGGCTCCCTTATTAACTTGCTTTGTGACCTGAGGATCTTCCTCCTGGAACAAGAAGTCACTCTTCTCTGACAGAGGCACCCTGAGTTCCTGCTCTGTCCTCAGAGCCTGGGCAGGTGCTATCAGAGACTGAAGCAGGCAGGATATGATTCATATTACAAACCCATTGTGTTTGCAGACAAAACATGTAGGACTATTCTTCACTTCTATAAGGAAAAATGCTGACTCTCATCTTTCTTAAAACATGAGGCATCAATAAACAAAACCTTGAGGTACCCTTTTGCTAGAGATGGCGGTACAGTGAAAAAAAAAAACAACACATGCAGTGATCAATGGTCAATGTCACATGGTCTTGATACTGGTGTGGCCTTAGGGAATAGAGCAGATGGCAGTCAATGGGAGGGCTTAGGCCCTGTTAAAAGGAGGCAGCCTTGACTTAAGTCCAGGTCGAGTGAGGATGGGGCCCAGTGTTGTAAGAACTTCTGATTTCTAAGAAAAGCTGGAAAACTAGATGTCTCTGTGAAATCTCTAGATTTTAAATTTTTACTTGCATTTAAAACCATGTGGGCCAAACCAATCTGTCTGAATACAAACACAGCCCTTGGTCTGCCAGTTGGAAATACCTGGGTAAGCTCCAGTCCTCTAGCCCCCGGGACAGCCTCAGAGAAGGTCAGACATGGCAGGCCACAGCAAGGGCTTTGTCTTCCCCTTTAATTCCCACAACAGGGAACCCCAAGGGAGCATTCACAATGGGGAGGCCTGCGGGGTCAGCTGTGCTAAGGCCCTGAGGGGATTGGTGAAAGGCTGGCACCAGGGAGACCAGAGCCCCAGCAAGGCTCAGTGAAGGGCAACCCAAGCCTCTTCCTCCCTCCAGTTCCAAGAGGACTGGCTTTAAGGGGAAGCAGAGGGTCAGGAGGCAGAACTGGGTGGTGGATGCTGATTTTCACTGGCTCTCTTCCTCCTTGTAGTGTTTGGAAAGGAGCCAAATCCATGAGGGTGAAGGAATCACAGTGGAGAAGTAGCCATGCTCCAACAATGTTCCCTCAGGGGTCTCCATGCCCAGGGTAGAGGCCGGCTGAGGGTTGAATCATGCCCACTCTGCCCCCAAACTCCTATGTTGAAGTCCTAGCCCCTAGTACCCCAGAATGTGACCTTATTTGGAAATAAGATCATTGAAGATGTAATTAGTGAAGATGAAGTGACTAGGGTGGGGCCTAATCCAAGATGACTGGTGTCCCTATAAAATGGTGAGATTTGAAGACAGACACACACAGCAGAACACCATGTGAAGATGAAGGCAGTGATCAGAGTGAAGCATCTATAAGCCAAAAACCACCAAAGAATGCCAACCAGCCACCGGAAGCCAGGGAGAGGCCTGGAACAGTTTCTGCCTCACAGCCCTCAGCAGGATCCAAGCCGGCCACACCTTGATCTCAAACTTCTGGCCTCCAGACTGTGACCCAAAAGATTCTGTTGCCTAAGCGTCCCTGTTTATGGAACTTTGTTAAGGCAGCCCTAGCAAACGAATCCAGGCCTGAGCCAGTTTCCCCTAGGTTCACATCGGGGCCACAGAAGGAGAAGGAATTCAGCCAGGAAAGAGAGCAAACCGTGGAGGCACCCGAGGAGGTGCAGAGGCACGATCTTTCTCTCATCTTACGCTGAGGAGGCAGCAGAAATCAGGGTCTTGGAATCAACACAGCCTTCCTGCCAGGCCCCCAGTGGCAGTCCACACAGCTCTGGGCTGGGAGGGCATCCGAGTGCCTCCTCCTCAGCCCACTCTCCCTGTCTAGCAGCCTTGGGTGGCCTTGCTCCCCTCTTCAGGACCTGAGAAGTCACTCCCCAGCTTTCCCCACATGGAAGTGCTATGTGGGAGAGGCAGGCTGAACTCTGGGTTGGGGTGGGGGGGTTGGAGTTCCGAGAGACTACAGCTCTCTTTAGTGCAAACCTTGGCCTAGTTGGCAATCCTCACCCCCAACCCAGCCACGTGGCTCCCGGGACAGCTGAGCCCCACCTCCATGGCGAGTGCCATTACCACCCGCGCATGCGCCCGTCATCTCACTGGTATCAACACAACTATCGCGAGGACGTGTCCACACACGTGAGGGAAACCGAGGCACAGAGGGACCGAGTCACTAATTCAAGGACTCTCAAACGGTAGCTGGGAGAGCCAGCCAGGAACCCCTTCCAGGGCCCTCCCGCCGAGGTT